CCTCCCCTTTGACGAAGTCCCGCCTGTCAGCGGACAAGTAGCGCCGCTTCTGTTTGACGGGCGCGGAGGCCGGATCGACGGTCAGCCGGTGAGTGATCACCTGGCGGCTGATGCCGGGCATATCGTCCGTGCCCCACGCGAAGACAACGGCGTATGACCGTAGGACGAGGAGGATGGCGTCTCGCTGGTCCTGGGGGAGTTGCTTTCCGACCCTGAGAACCCGCTCCGGCCGGGAGGCATCCAGAGGGATTTCCTCGACCTCCTCGGCCGGCTCCGCATGTGGCCTCTCCTCGTCCATGGCGACGGCGGTCGTGATGGTGTCCATCCGCTGTCCTTCCCTTTCGGCCGGCCTTGTCAGCTTGAGGTAGCAAGCTCTGGCTATCCTCTGATTTGCTCTGGCGTAGCCGATGCCGTCATTGGTGGGGAACTTCAAGCATAGGTGCTTCATGGAGATGATGGCCTCTAAGTCCTCCAGCGCTGGCCGGCCCAAGATCAGGTTGTGGGGGCACTGGAGGTTGACCACCATGAACTCCATGTCAATTTTGGCATGGTGGGGGCCGTCACCGACTTCCACGGGGAGGACTATCGTGCCCTCGGCGTCGATAGAGTCCCCGGTGAAGCCGGATAACGGGGTCTTGATCGGCTTCAGCAGAGCTCTGTCCAGCTTCAGCTGCTTGAAGGTGTCTAGGTACATCACGTTGACGGAGCTCCCCGTATCGATGTAAGTGCGGTGGATGATGGAGTCACCGATCTCACATCGGATGACGAGAGCGTCCCTGTGTGATTCCGTACCCGGAGGCAGATCCTTGTCGGTGAAGGTGATCGCCTCCGTTTGCTGCTTCTTCGGCTGGGGGGAACGTGGGACACCTCTCCAATGTAAAGGGATTGGGCCCATTTCTTCCTCTGAGTGGCGGAGTCCCCCCCAGTGTTCCCGCCTACGATGAGGTGGATGTGATTCTTCTTCGGCGGAGGCTCCTCGAAGTCCTCGTCGTCGCTGAGCCTACCAATCTCGCGCTTCTTCGCAGGGGGTTCGCCCCCACGTTTGCCGGTGTTTACCCAAGTGTTTTTCCGTGGGCCACCTTTGACAAACTGGGAGAGTTCCCCCTGGCGAATAAGGCGCTCGATGGCCTTCTTCAATGTGATGCAATCGTCGGTGTTGTGCGACGAGTTCTTGTGGAACCGGCAGTACATGCCGCCCTGCTGGATGGCTAGGATCTCTTCGGCCGGCCGAGGAGCCTGCTCGATGAGGCCGTGCTTCTCGGCATAATCGAGGATGGTGCCGACCGGGTGGGTGAGGGCTACCCCCGGCCGTTCCAGCCTCGGCCGCCAGTGGCGGTCTTTCTTACTTTGTCCACCAGAGCCGTGGCGGCCCTGGGCACCCTGGCCGGCCGGGGACGGACCCGAGGCCGGCGAAGGATTTGTCTTCTTGGGGGGATGGCCCCCCTCTCTTTTGTGATTGTGGAGCTCGTCGGCGTCGGCGTACAAGCCTCCGCGCTGGAGTGCCTTGGTGTACGACTTTGTTCATGAGCGCGTTGAGGCCGGGGTCGTTGGAGGCGCCGGCCGTAGGGATGTTGGCCGACTGCTTGGCCTCCATCTGAGCCAACCTCCTTTCCAGTTGGGCGATGACCTCGTCCCGGGGGTCCCTGGTGCCCTCGTCGGCCGCAGCGGCGCCCGGCTGGTTCCTCAGGCGCTCGTTGTGAGCCGCGTTGATCTGGTGACGCGCGTCATCCTCGTGCAACTTCCCCTTGCCCTTGTCCGGGCGGGGCTGGTCCGCTGTCCGGGACACAGACCCCAAACTTTCCCTTGGCGAGCCAGGACGAAGATCACCAATCCGTCCCGCCATCCTCTCCGAAACCGGACGACAGCGCGTGTCACCCAGCCTATTGAAGGCAGAGGCTTTTCCACGCGCTGGGGTCTGCCCGGGCCGAAGAGGGGAAGCAGGGTGGGAGTGGGACGATGTCGTGTCCTGGGCCACAACCCCCTCATTGTTGCCCATCTGGTCGGCTAGTGGTTGGGGATGAGGAGGTGGAGTGACGTTTCCCCCGGTCCTTGGCAAGAGTGCGCTGAGGACGGTGGGATTCTGAGCCAAGCTGGCGATGATGACCGATAGTGCGGCCTGGACCTGAGGATCTACGGACGGAGAGGCCGCGGCCATAGGCTGGGCCGGGGCGTGGTCCGCTTTCTCAGCCCGTTTCTTGTCCAAGCCGAGGCGGGCATCAGGGGCGCCGCCGTTGAGTTGGTTGCGGAGGTCCGTTGTGAGGTTGAAGGCCTCCTGGAAGAGGTCCCCTCCGCCGACCTCGTCGGCCGTGGCGTCCTCATCGTGCTCCCTGGGCTCTTGGTCCTCAGGGATGGCTTTGCTGACGAGGTTGCGGTTTGACTTAGTTCTCCCCATGATCAGTGGTTAACCGTGCTTGGTAGCGACGAAGGGTGCTAACTTGATTGTTCTAGTTCTCAACGAGAGCACCAAATGATGGAGTATTAACTCCTAGATTCTAGAGAGAAGTGAGAGCTAGAGAGAGAAGTGCAATATATGCTTCAATAAAATGATTTTGTCACCCCTATAACTACTCCCAAGGGGAGTATTTATAGAGAAAATTAGGGTTGGGCTCCCAAGCCTTGGGCTTGGGAGGCCCATTTACAACTGGACCGCTACTGGGCCGAATACAAAGCCTCTAATGGGCTGTACAAATGAGTAAGTATAGGATCCGATTCTGGGAGGTCCTCGTGGCCGACGAGGGCGTGGCCGACGAGGGCACGGCCGACGAGGGCACCCGGGTTCCTTGGACTCAGGACCATGATCCGAGTTGGCTTCTTCTCGGCCGACGAGGGCACGGCCGACGAGGGCACCCGAGTTCCTTGAACTCAGGACCATGATCCGAGTTGGCTTCTTCTCGGCCGACAGGGGCGTCTTGGCCGATGAGGGCGCCACTCTGTTGTCTTATGCTTTCTGTTCTTCCGAGTATGTGGGTCCTGGGGCTCAGACCCATATACTCCATCACCCATATTTTTTTTTTAGAATTTTTGAAAATATTGGGTAAAGAGGAAAAAGAGAATGGAGAGAGGGGAAGAGAGAAGAGAGAGAAGGGGAGGGGAAAATGAGATTTTTTTTGAGCATTTATATGATGTGAACTTTATGTATCTTAAGCATTTTTTAAGGGAAAACTGTCAAATAGGTCCTCGAACTTTCATAAAAAAGTCAATTAAGTCCTTCTATAGGAGACTCTGTCCGGTCGTCGCGATTTGGGGCGGTTCCCGGTGGATATATTTGATGAATTTTTTTGAGCATCTTATTCATCAAGTCTAGTTTACTCATACCAAATTTCAGCTAAAAATTTAATCGGGAGCGCATTCAAATTAATTCGAGAACGCAAAAAATGCGCAGTTATCTTAAAGAATTAATTTGAATGTGTTCCCGAATGAACGTTTAACTGAAATTTGGTATGAGTAAACTAGACTTGGTGAATAAGATTTTCAAAAAATTTCATCAAAAAATTCAACCGGGAACTGCCCCAAATCGCGACGGCCGGACAGAATCTCCTATAGAAGGACTTAATTGCCCTCTTTATGAAAGTTCGAGGACCTATTTGACAGTTTTTCCTTTTTTTAATAATAATACTCCATTAGACCAATTGAAGTGGTGAGATATTAAGAGTACAAATGGCTAAATGTGAAATTTTACAACTCCTAATTGTGTGTAGTGGTAGTTTAAAATATGTACTAACAGTGGTAAAGGGGATGAAAGGGTTAAATATAGAGGATGTGTCGAGAGGAGTGGAAAAAGGAAAAAAGAAAAGGGACGGCCACATGTTGCTTTTGGTCAATCGATGTCTTGCTGACATCATCGTTGCATAAGAATATCCCATTTTTTAAAAATTTGTACTCTCCGTGCCGAAAAGGTTGGTCAAATTTCCTTTTTAGATATGCCAAAAAGATTTGCCTTTCCATTTAAAGTAAGGAATATGTGGCTAAAATTTATTCTCTTTCCTCTGCACAAATTTCAACCATACAGTTTTTTTTTCATTAATCCACATGAAAATCAACTTTGGTCAGCCTTTTCAGGACGGAGGGAGTATAACTTTTTTATTTGTTCTCCAAAATTTTCAAAATATATATAAAAAATCATAAAATTTTATGATCTTTCATATGACAGCATTATGTAATATATAAAATGAAACACAAATTCTTAAGTTTTAATTGTTGAAGTTTTCTTCAGTCTAAAAAATAATAAATACAAATTTTTAATTCATGGAGTCTTCACAAATAACTGAATATTTTATAATCGAACTTTACATAAATTAAGTTCATTTTTGTTAACCGAAAAAAATAAAAAAGTAATGAAATTTATTTATTTTTACATCGAAATGTGTATTTTTTATTTCACAATTATTTAGGTAAAATATTAAACGGAAAACATTACTTATAATAAATTAATTATTGCTTTACTAAATTGATATGTAAAAAAATATGCTGAGTGTAAAAAAATAAACACTTTTTGCATATGAACGAATTCCAAATTTAATAATTTGAACTTCTGACAACTACAAATGGTCTTAAGACCCAAACTATTTGAAAGCCTTAGAGGCCGTTTGGCAACCCTCATTTTCGGCTTATCAGGCTTATGAGCCAACTTTTTTACCAAACACGCAAACTTTGATTTCGCGCGCTGAATTGTGTAATAAGCCGAAAAAGTAAGGTTTGAGTTACTTTTCTGGCTGTATTGGCTGAAGTTACTGTAGATGATCATTTTAGCTATTTTTACATATAATTTTTTCTTTATTTTATTAATAAAATATATTTTAAAAATATTTTTTTCTTGTATCAGCAAAATCAGCGAATGCAGCCACTTCAGCCAGAACTTCATATATTTCAGCAGAATCAGCCAAAACAGCCCATTTTCGTGCTAGCAAACGGGCTCTTAAAAAATAGATACTTGTGCTTCATTTTTAATCATTACACCGTTAGTACTTGTTTCAAAATCAACCATAAACAGGATTTTTGTATTTATGAAAATAAAACAGAGTACTATTTAATGTATAACAAATCAGTAACATTCTTTACATTAGAATAATAATCTGTTAAATAAAAAATTATGGACTCATTTTTATTTTAAATTAATAATAGTAATTATTGTAATAAATTACTCCATAAAATACAAATGCATCAGTCTGGAAAACACACACATGTAGCTGCCGGCTGGTGGCTGCTGCTTCTTCTCCGCTCCGCTCCTCCCTTATCGGATCTCGCATTCCTTTGTTCTTCACGAGGTATCCATCATTCCTTCTTGTCTTCCTTCATTTTTTTAATCTTTCTTGATTCGCTTACTGAAACACACCCACTTTTCCCTCACTTTTGTGTAATGATGATGATGATATGATGATTTGTTTATTTCTCTGGAACTTATTCCCTCATTAGTTACCGTATCTATACTCAGATAGGATTTAATGCTACTCATTCTCTGTTTCCACTTTTAATGCCTTCGGAAAGATTTTCCATTTTCTATAAACGATTTTCTCTCCATAATTATCATTAGGAAATTGTTATGAAGGATCGTTACAGAGAGTGGGAAAATCCACCGTTTCCCTAAATTCGAATCATGTTCAGGATCATTAAAAGAGGGAAGAAGGGTTCTTCGAAATCGGATGCTGCGGATAATTCAATACCCTCCTCCGGCGCATCTCCTGATGTGGTTTGCAATCACGCTTCCCGTATTGCTTCTGATTCCGCGGCAGTCAATAACGCCGCTTCTGGATTGGCTGACTCGCCCTCGCAGGCTGTGCCGCGTTTGGCAAATGCTCCTCCTAACCCTGGGGTTGAAATTCTGCCTATGTTGAAGGAGGTCCCGCCCTCCCAACGTCATTCCCTCTTCGTCCGCAAGCTCCAAATCTGTTGCTTGCAATTCAACTTCACGGACACCATGAAATCCGCCCGAGAAAAGGAGATCAAGCGGCAAACCCTCTCAGAGCTCATTGATTTAGTCCACACCGGATCGTGTAAGATGACTGAGCTTATGCAAGAGGATATGGTTTCGATGATTTCGGCCAACATTTTCCGCTGCTTCCCCCCTGCACCCCACCAGGGTGCTGGGGGTGAGGGTGGGGGTGACCCCGAGGAGGATGACATGTTCCAAGACCCTTCATGGCCTCATTTACAACTTGTGTATGAGCTTCTCTTGAGATACGTGTTGTCAGCCGATATCGACACCAAGATCGCCAAACGATATCTGGACCATACATTTCTTCTTAAGCTGATCGACTTGTTTGACTCTGAAGACACCAGAGAACGGGAGTATTTGAAGACTGTTCTTCACCGTATATACGGCAAGTTCATGGTCCACCGCCCCTTCATAAGAAAGGCCATAAACAATATCTTTTACAAGTTTATATTTGAGACAGAGAGACATAACGGGATTGGCGAGCTATTGGAGATTCTTGGGAGTATAATAAACGGATTTGCGGTTCCTATGAAAGAAGAGCACAAGTTGTTTCTCATTCGAGCGTTAATTCCACTCCACAAGGCCAAATGCATGTCTGACTATCATCACCAGCTGGCGTATTGCACTGTACAGTATGTTGAGAAAGATTATAGATTGGCGGGTGTGGTTATTAAGGGACTGCTTAAGTACTGGCCTGTTACTAATTGCGGGAAGGAAGTTCTGTTTATTGGGGAGCTTGAAGAAGTTCTTGAAGCTACACAGCCTGCTGAGTTTCATCGTTGTATGGTTCCTCTTTTCAAACAAATTGGACGTAGCCTTAATAGCTCCCATTTCCAGGTTTGAGAATTCATTACTTAGTATACCCTTCAAAAAAAGTATACCCACATGCACATGTTGATGGAGTAGTACATTCCCAAAGTATTTGTTGAGGCTTTTAAGTTGCATATCCAGGAATTCAGCTTTGAAATTTGAGTGAATTGGTAAACTTGTCTTGCATAAAAGCAAAGCAACATTACATCATTGACCCAGTAGTATAGCTTGTCATATTTCATTTGCAAAAGTGTTTATGCACAACTGCACAAGTGTGAAAGTATAAAAAAAAGAACATGAAATGGTAATGTGCAATAGATTGTGATAAACCAAGAAGGTAAGCATTTGCTTTGTGAGACGATGCCCCTTATTCAGGAGCTAAGCCTCCTTTGTAATGAAGGGGGAGGGGGTTGCTCCTCATTCTTTCAAAAAGATGTGTACATATGTACATATGTGTATATATACCAATACAAGTATACTATCTAGATATTTTGAATTGGCCACTTGGAATCTCATTTTTCAATGTAGTAGATGATTTTAAACTTTAACTAAAAAATAAAGCGATGTTTCATTTTTTTCTACAATGCATAAAATATAGACAGAAAAATAATTTAGAAATTCTGAAATCCTAGAGGAAACAAGAGAAAAATAAGCAAACTTAAAACAGAATACTTCGTATTAGTTTAGTGTTTCCTACCCACTTGCCACACTGACCAATCACTCAACCGTGTCATTGTTGATATGAAATTTCTTGACTTTGTTTTTATGTCACATTTTTGTGTCATACTATATCAATTACTTATCTTATTGATAATATTAATTAAATGATCCTTGCCATCCCCATAACAGAATCCTGTTTTAATATCTTTTCTAGTCTAAAAAAGTCTTGTTCATCAAGCTGAAAAATTTATTTATATTTGATTACATTACTTATAAGTTTTAATAACTGTCGTGCCTTCTCTTTAAAAAAACTGCACCTTGACCAAACATGACTCTTTTTATGGACGGAGGGAGTTATAAGTACGGGCCAATAAGATAAAAAAAAACTTGACATAAGTTGTGAACTCATAATTGTGTATTTGTTGTCGTTGTTGAATGTTGAGCTTAACGGTCTCCAGTGCATATTTGGTTGGTGTGGTGTAGCAGGAAGAGATCTGAGATGTAGTTTGCCATGTCTGAGTTCTTTAAAATTTGGTTGATGTGACATGGCTTTATTGGCTTAGAAAACATAAATAATTTGGAAGAGGATACTCCAGTGCATATTTGGTTTGTGTAATATTTGCCAAAAAAAAATGGTTGGTGTTGTAGAAGTGTTTTTGTTAAATGAGTGAACAAATATCTAGTAATCTAGTGTTGATCTATTGAGTTCTTAGACTACATTTCCCTTGATATCTCCCCCTATCATTTTGTTGAGTTCCAAAAAGATCCTAAAAGCATTCAAATGACAGGTTGCGGAGAGGGCTCTGTTCTTATGGAACAATGAGCATATAGTAGAATTGATTGCACTAAACCGGCATGCTATTTTACCAATCATCTTTCAAGCATTAGAGAGAAATATCAGGTCTCACTGGAACCAAGCAGTCCATGGGCTGACCTCCAATGTCAGGAAAATGTTCTTGGAGATGGATGCCGAGCTATTTGAGGAGTGTCAACGTGAGTATGATGAAAAAGAAGCCATTGCTGGGGACTTGTTAGAGAAGCGTGAGCAAACATGGAAGAGATTGGAAGAAGATGCTGCTAAACAGGCTGCCGGGGGATAACAACAATAATTTTGCTTTTTTCTTTTTAAATTTTTTCGGGTTGAGCTCAATCTTTTTTCTTCCATTCTCGTAGTCATACTACTTCTGGAAGGTATGGATATTGTTTTTATCAACCGCCCATGACCTTCATGAAAAAGTTTCTCCTTCAGTGTCTTCTAGCATTCTTTAACACTTTTGGACAAAAATAATTATGTGATTGACCCCAATCCCTGATATGTCATCAAAGAGATGAGTATCAGTTCCCCCCTCATTGACGAATTGAAATGTAACCATTTTACTTTAATCTGGCGAGTAATTTTGACAGTTTTATTTCCCTCATGAAGTGATTCTTCTAAGCCAGTAACAGGTGCTAGAAAGGTTCTTGGGATGCTATGCATTTGAGTATTTGACAAAATACTCTCTTAGCAATGGTGAGAGAACTACCTTCCCCTAGGAGTGGACATATTCCAGGTTTCGGACCAGTTGGTGTTTTAAGTGGAAAACCAAATGGTCCAATTTGGTCCTTGGACAAGATAGTTTACTGGTCGTCACTTACTCAGTTCTACCCAACATTAAACTGGACCAGTACTAACAACCTGGGTTACAGTGCAGCGCCCCAGACCAGCACCCCTACCTTCACCTAGGTGTGGACAGGAATGGGACCGGGCAGGCTTCAGGCTTAAAGATTTCAGGCCCAATGTCGGCCCAGGTTTGTACTAGTACCGGTCGATCCAGGATCGAGACGGGCCGGACCTATTTTTTTGAAGGATTTAAAGCAATTGTTTTTGAATTGTCGGCTGTTAGGCCTGGTCCATGAAAAGCTGAGCCCGATGCCCGCCTTCTTCCACCAGGCCGGGTCGGGCCAGGCAGCATGTTGGGTAGGCCTGTCCCAGTCCATCCCTACCTTCACCCATCCTCTTATAGGGGTTAACTTGAACATTCCCTGAACCTTTGCTCGCACATAGCTTTACTCAAACTCAAAGTAATGGGTTGGAGATTCAGTTTTGCTAGGCTATTGAGTCAGATTACAACTCCATACGAAGTTGGCATCATTTTCTTTCAGAAGGGTGAGGCAGGGTGAAATGTATGATGCCACCAATTTTCTTTCATCATTTCTTCAAAAATGGGGTAATCATTCTTTTCACTTGATTTCTTCTTCTACATAAATAATCAGTGTACATCATAGTTGGCCAGCTCCACTGATGGTAACGTACAAACTTAAAATAAAAAGAGAGAGAAAAAAGGTGGTGGTCGGAGTAGGGGTTGATGATGCTCTAGTCCCGCTCCCAAATATCATTTCAAAGAAGTTGCCATCGCTGGTGCCGGGCTGGCTTGGGCCGCTGCTGGTTGTTCCCCCACCGTTGAACTTGTTGTTATCCCTGCATAGCACCATATACCAATCAATGATATCAATCGCATTGTTATTGTGTTGAGTTGAGAAATCAATTACTACTAAAAGATCACAACAATTACATCCTCCATTCCTTTTTCATAATCATATACGTAGTATTTCTTTTTTGGCAATCCCTAATGATAACTCAGACTTTTGAGGAAGCGGTCCAGTCTAGCTGGTCGCCGACTCACTCTCTCTTACGGAAGGTCTCGAGTTCGAAACACAATGGAGTGAGTTTCAGCCCAGATTACTCAATGCTCCCCCAGCCCTCTCCCCCAAGCACCCTCTGGAGTAAAAAAAAACTCAGACTTGTGTGAATATCCAAATTATGCAACATGGGCAGATAAAAAACACTGCTTCCATCCTCTTTGCTAGGTGACTCATTTGACTCAAAAGGCTTGACCCATGGGCAGGTCTTGGGAGCCAACCCGTCCACCCTAAATTCAAAAAATCTTAATTTTTTAGGTAAAGAGTTTCGTGTAATTTTTTTCCCAAAAATATTATTTATACTGACCCAGTCTAGCCAAGTACCCTGGCTTGACCTATATCTATTGCGGCAAGAAGCCTCTCACCTTGAGAGTAACAACCAAGAAATTATAGTTTGAGAATTTCACTATTTGAACCAACTAAGCTACCCAATAATCATCATCATGCACTAGTTTGAAGCCACACAAAACTGAGATAATTATAGGAGTTACTTGTTTCTTTCTTGTTAGTATTGAATAGAAAGGGGTTTGGAGAAAATAGATGGGGTAAGGTTGGGGTGGACACGGCAGCGTATACAAAGATAGCTACATTAGCAATAGACCAAACATTTTTTGTCAACAAATGTAATAAAAAATCTCATTTTGATAATAAGAATAATGACAGGCTAACAAATACAGGAGTTGATAGTGATGCATTCATAGAGTACTAGCTGGGGTGGCAAATTATTTAATTAATAAGGAATATTCCTTAAATATCACTAAGTGAATACTCATTCGAACAAATATTAATTTAGGAATAAAAAAGTCTCCACTTGGAATAAAATTTTCAGATCCGGTTGGTCTAAATTGATTAGGTCTGATTGGTCCGTTTTATTTGAATCAAGTGTGGTCTGAAACTGTGTATTCAAATTTGCTCTAAACAAGTCCAAGTGGGGTGATAATACAATCAAATAAAACTGGCCAGCCTTATGCATCCTCAACGTACAATTTTAGATAAATTGAATATTACTTCGTACTTCGCAATCAAAATAAGTAAGACTAGATTTACTTTTATAATTGACTCTATATAATTTACTTTTAGCAATTTTTCATAACTTTTTCTTTATTCACTTAAATTTTTTATTTTAGATTGAATCTTTTCTTAATTCAATAGATTCTGCCAAAACTTCATCGATTTTAACAGATTCAGCCGATTCAAGATTTATATCTACTAAATATTAAAACCAAAATAGAAAAAATAATTGACTCTATATATGGGAAGTGATTGATTTGAGTTTTTTTAAATTTTGAATTAATTTTATCTCCTTGTAAGCATAAATTGCAGTTTTAAAATGCTTATAGAGACTATATTTATCAAATAACTAAGGGAGAACTAGCAAATAAGCCATTGAACTTTCATAAAAAGTGCAAATAAGCCCTTTTGTAGGAGGTTTTGTCCGGCTGATGCCATTTGAGGCGGTTTTCGATGTAATTTTTTGATGACATTTTTTGAGCATCTTCTCCATTAAGTCTAGTTTACTCATACCAAATTTTATCTAAAAATTCAATAGGGAAGACAGTCAAATGAATTTTTGAAGATTACTGCGCAGTTAGACAGCGCAGTATATTTCAGAAAATCATTTGACTGTCTTATCAATTGAATTTTTAGCTGAAATTTGGTATGAGTAAACTAGACTTAATGAAGAAGATGCTCAAAACATTTCATCAAAAAACTCCACCGAAAACCGCCCCAAATGGCATCAGCCGGACAAAGCCTCCCGTAAAAGGGCTGATTTGCACTTTTTATGAAAGTTCAAGGACTTATTTGATAGTTCTCCCAATAACTAAGGAATGAGTACATGTTAGTGTTCTGCCTTTGAGCACAAGAAGGGAAAATGGGAAATTCCGTGGATGAAATTTGCCATTGGCAGAGACATAGGATGCTTGCCATATCTGACCCACAAAAGGCCATAAAAAGGGTTTATTGTAGTGTTTGGCTTGTCATGATGATATAATAGTAATACTCGTTCCTTCTAAACTTTATCATTTTTTGAGCTTTGAACCAACTATATTTTTATTTAATAAAAATTATTTATAATATAAAAGTGATATGAAAATGTTACTTGTTAAAAGTACTTTCGTAAACGTACAAAATACATAACTTCTATAATACTCATTATATTAATTAAAATCATGACCCAAACTTTATGAGACGATGAAATTTTAAGAGACGGCGATAGTAGTAAAGATGATTAATACAACTTGATCAACTAATACGTAATAATACATTATTAATACAACTTGATCTACTAAATAATACTAGTACAAGCTATTAGCCTATAAGTTAGTTGTATGATGGAAGGAGTGGGTCCCACTGCCTCAAGCAATTATTATAGAGAAAACGAAAGGGTGTGCTTAGAGAGCTGGAAAGCATGAAGCAGCGGAGTCTAATCCAACCACTTCAAATACTCCTTTTCCTCCTAAAAAACTTCAAAATATTTTACTTTTGGACGTCCCAAAAAACTTGTTCACTTTCTTTTTTTAATCAATCATTTTATGATTTTTGTTATTTATCTCTCCTCTATACAAATCTCAATCATACAGTTTTAACTTTATTATTTTCCGTATCGGTCAAACTTGACAAAGTTTTAAGAGATAAAGCAATATATGCGTATAAAAAAGTAAAACAAACCTAACATGAGCCGGTCTTAAGTTTGTAACCTCATCTCTTGTATAGAGAGGCACCGCCCTTGGAATGAATTGTCATAAACCATTATTATTATATCAGCAATCCTGTCTGGGAATATTGGTGGGACAAACATAAAGAAAGTACGTATAGAGTTTGGACGGCTAATTTTAAGGTTTGTTCGCACTACATTTAAATAGATCAGATTAAATCCAACTTATTTCAGTCACAAGCAAAAGAAATTCAGACCACATCAAACTTAGATAATAGTAAAGTACACATTTACTAAACTAGTATAAAATCAGATTAGATAATAACACAATTAAACCAGTTCAAATCCGAAAAAACGAGTGAGTTTCAATCAAAATGAAGAGCTTTCCAAAGTTGGGAATGGCTTTTCTCACTTTACTTTGTCTCTCATTAGAGTAGGGTAATAAGACTGAAAATGTCAAAAGATATAAGCCAAATCTCAAATTCTTTGACCAACGTAGTCTTGCTATTTAGAGCCGGTTTGATGATTCTGTTATTCGGTTTATCAACCAACTTTTTCATTAAACACGTAGTTTTTTATTTGACGCGCTGAAATGTTTGATAATAAGATAGAGTAAGATTGGACATACTTTTCTGACTGCATTCACTAAAATCAATGTGGATGATCATTTTACCTGTTTTTTCATATATTTTTCTCTATTCTGTTAATAATAATTTTTTTCATAAATCACCAGGATCAACCACTCCAGTCAGAACTTCATAAATTTCAGCAGAAATCACCCATTGAAGCGATTTTGGGTAATGCCAAACATGCTTTTATTATGTTGAGTTTCCTACATGCATAACCTGATTTTCTTTTAATGTTTTTTACATAGAACTCACATTTTTCTCTGTGAGTAGACTCTTGGTACAATTATAGCAAATGTATCCCCATCTCGATCACCTTTTTTTCATTTTTTATTCAATCAAATTAGAATAACATCAGACTTGGTAAAATGAAGGAGATGGTGCAAGATTCGTTGGTAGTGTGCACTGTCAGGCTAACTTCTCCATTGA